CACTGAGCGATCTGCGTCCAGAAGTCGAGGGCGAAAGTGCCGAGCGGGATGCGGAACACCTGCGCGAGCGTCGACAACTCAGGCTGCAGCACGGACGCTGGTGGCCAGCAGAATTGGGCAACGTAAGATATGGTCGTGACGGCCCGAGTATTGTACAGTGTAGCGGAAAGGCTGGCGGGAGTGGTTCCCCGCCCGATGGCTCGGGCCCTGAGACGCAATTTGGCGACGGGGTCAATCCACGAAGTGGACGGAACAACAGCAGGCCCCAGCCAGAGGCCCAGGTAGAGCAGCTTGGGAGCCACCTCGAACGAGCTCCACTCGGGGACCAGATGGGAGACCCAGTAGGAGACTGTGGCGGAGAGGTTGGGCGAGAACCTGTCAGACAGCGGGGCAATCTTGCATTTCGAGACCTTCAAGGCGAGGTTGGCCATGTCCGAGGCCATCTTCATAACCCGATATACATGAACTAGGTGCCGAATGGCCAATAACGCGCCCCCAATGTCATCAGCACAGGCCCGAACCAGGCCAAGGCCAGCGGCCTCCACCCGAGACGCCAGGTCGACCAAGAAGACAGCCGTACTCAACGCATAGAGAGTGCCCGATAAGGCACAACCTTGGATGATGCCGCTCTGGATCCAGAAGATGTGCACAAGCGAGCCTAGGTGCGAGACAACCCCTTCCACCGATGCATACAGGAACGCGACGAAGGACACGAAAGCCTCAGGCAGCTTGAGGGCCCTAAGGGAGAGAATGAGGAAGTCCTGATTCAGGGACGGGAAGGCCTGGCCGAAGTCCAGGGAATACAGCACAGGGATATCGGTAGACCCGTGAGGCACGACCGACATCTGACGAGACGACACGTCGAGCTCGAGGATGTTGTTGCCGAAATTCCTTCCCGGAATGAATCCACGCTGGCACGGCGGGGCGAGAGAAACCAGGGCGGGCCGAATCGCCCGATTGACAGTGGACGAGATGAGCTTCAGGTCGCAGTTCCTGAGGCCCAGGACCCGAACCTTGTCTGGGGAGCGGGAGCAGCTGGCATCGCGGAGCTCCAAGTCCGTGACGTTTTTGGGCAGAAAAATCTGGATCGTGTCACTAGTATTCGCAAACAGCTCCTGGCCCCTGAGAACCCATCCAAGAGCGTCCCACAATATGTCAGCCCCCCGCGAGGACGCCGCCCACGCAGCATACGGGAGAGCATCAGGCCCAGGGGCAGAGTGTTGGGCAGATCGAATCGCACGCCGTAGCATATTCTTCGACGGCGGGGGGAGGTGAAGGTCGGCAGGAAGGTCAGGGGCGAGGCGGCGTAGGTAAGGAGCAGCAGCAGCGGAGTCCCACGGCTTTTTCTGGAAGACAGGGGCCCAGTGCTCCGAGAGTACCCGCAGTCGATCTGATGGGACGCTGACCGCCGAGCCATCAGGCGCGATAGCCGCTGAGAGCGATATCCTTCGGTTGAGAGGGGACCAGAGACGAGCGCGCCGTTCAAGTGCGCGGACCTGGGCGCGAATCTGGGCGCGGTCACCTTCACGCCGCCTGCGATCTTCAAGTTCAGCCTTCGCGGACTCAGCAGCCTCAGTCTGGACCTGGTCGACCCAAGCCTGGAAGGACGGCGGGTGGCGGATCTCGAACTTCCCGTTGGTAATCGATATCATGTCTATGGCCAGGGGATGGGAGTCCTGGAGCCTGGAAGCCATGCGCAGGTCCTGTCTCCAAACCACACGGGCAAGGGCACGAGCGAGCAGGAGGCAGGTGTGCGGGTGATGTGGTCTGTCTCGAAAGAGGGCGCCCCTGGTCTCCGCGGCCGAAATCTTCAAAAGCTCCTTGTACTTTTCAACCTTGAACGGGGGCGACATGGAGCCCCACGGGATGCAGGAGCACAGCCCCTCCAGGCGACGCTTGAAACCAGGCTCAGAGAACAGGTGCTTGGGAATGGGGCGGGACTCCACTGGACGAGGCGGGCGGCAGGCAAGCGAGAGAACAACAGCAGCATGGTCAGAGATCTTTTTGTCAAAGACGGCCGCCGGCGAGCCAAGCGTGCCAATCTGGACAAACAGCTGGCAGAGCTGCCAGCCCGTGATCGAGCAGAAGACGCGGTCGATCGTCGCGCACGAGTCGTTGAACTTCTCGTAGTGCGTGGGGTCCTCGCACGCAATCTCGGTCAGGAGGGCGAGGGCCTGGCGCCACTTGGGCGCCTGCACGTGGTGGCACTTCGACAGCTTGCGCACGGCCGCCGCGGGGGCAGCGAGCGCGAGAGCCTCGTGCGTGGCAAAATTGAAGTCCCCGAGGACAAAGGTGGTGTACATGTCGGGGTCGAGGGCGGCAGCACGTTGCGATGCTCGTATCGCAGCAGCCACTTCACGAACCTGCTGGGCGGACAGACCATGATTGCGAATGTTGAAAATGTCGAGCGTGCGGCAGTCATCCCAAACTCGGACTAGCATCACTCGGCCAGGAACCAGAACAGTGGAAGATGAGGACGGAGCGGTGAGGCCCTGACAAGCCAACGGCGGAAGCACCACAGCAACTCCACCCCGCCGATGCCCGTCATCTGCGTCAGAGATGAAGCTGGAGTGGATCGTGAGGCCTGACGCAATCGATCGGAAGAACGAGTCGAGCTGGAAGTGGCCCTGGTGCACCTCCTGCAGCGCGATGATCGTGGAGAGGGGACGAAGACTGAGAACATACTTTCTCTTCAGGATGGCCTTATCCCCGCCAGCCTGAAGAAGAGCCCGAGAATTCCACGTAGCGATCCGAAACGTAGGCGCCGCTGACCCAGGCGGCGGGGGAGGAAGATGAAATAGTCCAGCAGCGCTAAAGACACCACTGGCTGGGATCGGACGGATGCGTGAGCTCCTTGACAGCATTGCGGAGCGTGTCGATGGCCATGGCGTGCTTGGCAAGCTGCGCAGAGTCCCAGTAGATCTTGGGAGGGGTGTCGCCATGGAAGACGTTGACGTGCATGATCTTGTCCCACCCAATGGAGAGGACGCCATGCTCGCGGTCGGAGTAGAATCGCTTGCCTGGGTACTGCAGCTCGATGATCGCCCTGGCCTTGCGCAGGGTGACCTCGGTCTTGATGCGCTTGGGTGACTTGTCGGGGCCGAGGTGCAAACGGCATCGCTCGGCGCCTGGAGGGTCGACCCAGAACTCTTTCCAGCCGTCGGGTCCCTTGAGGAGCGAGGTGGCCTTGCTGGCACGGCGCGAGGCGATGGTGGCCGAGCCCGAGAAGCAGATCTCGAACCTCCTGGCCGGGGACTCACCCTTCTGCTTGATTTCATACTGTTCATCATCAAAGCCATTCTCGCCGAGCCACGGGCGTAGCGACGAGACCACTGACGCCAAGGTAGTCGGTCGCTGAGAGACGGCAACAACGATCGTGGTGTCCTCCTCGCGGTCGAAGGAGGTGGGAGCAGCCAGCTGCTTCCTGGGAGTCTGTTCAGCGATGGCCATCTGGCGACGAAGCTCCGCCAGCTGGTCTTGAAGATCCTGGATGGACTTGTCATGCTCGTCGGCTCTGCCCTCCAGCGCGTCGATGCTGCGCTTCTGCTCGTCAAGCTGGGCTTGGAGGCGTCTGTTGAGCGAGTCGAGTCTGGGTGCGATCGCCGATTGAACCTGGCTCTCGATGGCACTGGATTGTTTTGCCACTTCGCCCTGCATGGACGACAGCATCTTGAGCAACGTGTTGTGATTGGAGGTGATGGTCTTGGCAACCGACTCTGACACCTCGGTGGTGATGGTGTCCCGCATCGAGGCAAACTCCTCTCTGCACAGTTGCCGGAGAAAGTCACCATCGTCATCGTCATCATCATGAGGAGAGGGTACAGGAGCACCGACCGAGGACGAAGCGAGGGCCTGGCGCTTGCGCTGGGTGAAGCGGCCCGTGCCCTGGCCTTTGCCCGAGCGCTCGCCGTCGGGGAAGGTGGGCATCTCGTCAAGCTCTGCAAGCATCTGGCGCTCCTGGGTGCTCGCATGCGCGGCAGGGACTGCATCAGCCATGAGACGCACTGGTGGTGGGGGTGTCCGCCAGCCTTTGACAGCTGGGTGGCCCTGGAAGAAGGGCTGCCACACTCAAAACGGGCCTGTCCCGATCTTGAGCCAAAATGGCAACGGAGGAGGAGGAGGAGGAGGAGGAGGAGGAGGAGGAAGAGGAGGAGGAGGAGGAGGAGGAGCGGGACGAGGAGGAGGAGGACCGACCGTGGGCGACAGCAACGAGACGAGGAGGGCGGCACGAGCGAGGGGCAGCATCAATGGGTCACCAGCTCGAGGGGGACGGAGGGATCATTCGCCGGCGTCCGACACCACGAGGCCCCAAAGGCGTGCCACAATCCTCCGGCAAGAGCTTCCGACTAATCCTGGCTCGCGCGCGCGCGTGGCTGCCCCTGGGGGTCCCCAGGCGAAGAATATACCCCATGCGGGCCCCGGGCGGCGGTGCCAGCCACGGATGCCGACCAGGAATCTGAAGGGGCCCTGGGACACACAAATGAATACACACAAATGAAAATGTTCCCCCGTATTGTCCATATTTTCTTGGTTTTTTCTTCCCCACCACTTCCCATATTTTCCCATATTTTCTGGGGGATCGGCGATTAATTCTGTCTGTGTGTTCCCTCCTGAGAAAAATACCCCATGCAGGCCCCGGGCGGCGGTCCCAGCCACGGATGCCGACCAGGAATCGGCGATACATCACCGATACATCGCCAATAGGCCCCCGATAGCGACTGCGCACTTTTCTGGGCGACCAGTGGGCGATCGGGGGTCGATGCGCCGCCCCATTGAGCCTTTCCCCCCCTGAGTTGCCCCCTGGTTTTCGGCTCGTACCTCGGCTCTCCAGCGGCCGTTCGGGACGATCCGGGCACCCCCGGAACGCCCTCGACGAGGCGCAGCCGCTGGAGAGCACCCCAGAGCTGGCAAACCGCCGAGGTCCGACGGAAGCGCCCGAAAGCCTCGAACCCCTGGAATCCGAGGAGGTTGGGCCAACGCTGGTCAAAATCGGAAGGAGCCTGTCTGGCGTCAGCGCGTAGATGGAGGACTTCCTCCTCACGGGCGTCGGCGAGTCTGCCGGCGACGAACCTGCCGACGTCTGCCTCGGTGCTGTCCGCGGCGGAGGTGTGGCGGCGCGGTGAGAGACCTGCTCCTCGCAAGCGGCAGGGGCGCGCGTGTGTTTGTCTGCTCTCTTTCTCTCTGTATATCCATCGCTCTCGTTATCTCTATTTCCCAACCATCCTGTGGTATTGGGTATGAAAAAAATAGGAAAAAATATGGAGAAACAAAAAAAAAAAAAAAAACGACCTCACTCCTCTTCTCCTCCCCCTTTTTCCCTCCCACCATCACCATCGTCATCATCATCATCACCATGATCATCATCATCAGAATCGTAACCGTGATCGTCGTCGTCTTCATCATCGTCATCAGCATCATCATCATCGTCACTATCATCCTCATCACCATCATCATCGCCATGATCGGAACCATCGTCGCCATCAGTTCGGCACACCCCTCACACGTTCGTGGCCCCATAGGGAGCTCCACCGAAGGCCCCAATGCCGCCGGCCGCATGCGTCCCGCACACCCAAGTCGGCACACCCCTCACGCGCTTCGCAGCCCCATAGGGAGCTCCACCGAAGGCCCCAATGCCGCCGGCCGCATGCGTCCCGCACACCTACTTCGGCACACCCCTCACTTGTTTCGTGGCCCCATACGGAACTCCGCCGAAGGCCCCAATGCCGCCGCCCGCATGCGTCCCGCACACCCAATGTCGCACACCCCTCACGCGTTTCGCGGCCCCATAGGAGCTCCACCGAAGGGCCCAGTGCCGCCGCCCGCATGCGTCCCGCACACCCAATTCGGCCATCGAAGGCCCCAGTGCCGCCGCCCGCATGCGTCCCGCACACCCAAGTCGGCACACCCCTCACACGCGTCGTGGACCATAGGGAACTGCACCGAATGCCCCAGTGCCGCAGCCCGCATGCGTCCCGCACACTCAATTCGGGCTTGCGGAAGCAGCTGGAGCAGCTTGCGGTGCGCACGAAGCGGTGCAGGAGGGAAACCACGGCCCTCGCCAGGGAGTTCGGCTTCACCGAGTTGATCCGCGAAGGCTGACCTGAGGAGCGACCCGCCGCAGCCGCGCCCTCTCTTGGCTGTCCGACTGTTTGGGCTCGCGTCGCGGACGAGCCGCGCGCGTTGCCAAGGCCCTCTCGGGGCGACCAGCGCGCGTCGCGCGAACTCCGCTCTGCGCTCTGCCCAACGCCTCGCTCGCCCCTCGTCGCTCTGCCCAGCGGCCGAAGCCATGCGCAATACCAGTTAGCCTGCAAGCACTGTCTGCTCCGCACAGCGGACGAACTGCGCGCGTCACTGCGACCCTTTCGTGGCGACCTGCGCGCGTCGCGGGGGCTTCGCGTAGCGCGGCGCCCGCAGCCTTGAACTTTGGAGTGCGCGGGCAAAGAGGAAGGAAAAAGAGGGGAGGAAGCGGGCGCGATCCTCGTGTGGGGCGTGCCGACATGGGCGTCGCGGCGCGCGGGCGCTGCCGTCGGGGTTCCCAGGTAAACTCCTTGCGGAAGATACGCTCACTGTCACGAGTTCTCAGAGTCAGGCAGGCCCAAACCATTCACAGTCGTATGCATGTACACTAGGCGGCTCCATGCTCGCAGTCATGCAGAGAGAACCAACCGCACGCATTTTCATTCAGAATCAGATTCATTCGTGCTTAGACTCGCGCGCGCTCAAGCTTTCATACTCAGACCTATCGTTATCGTTCGTGTTGTGTGCCCTATCACACAATTCGGCACACCCCTCATACGGTTCGTGACCCCATAGGGAGCACCACCGAAGAATATATTCAAAATTGCGGCATTCACAACTGCGTATGGTTGGGTCCTTCGCCAGGCTAAGTTTCTCTGCCTGCCTCTATCTCTCTGTCCCTACCTCTCTCGCTATATATGTGTATGCATGTATGTATGTATGTATGTATGTATGTATGTATGTATGTATGTATGTATGTAGGTAGGTAGGTAGGTAGGTAGGTAGGTAGGTAGGTAGGTAGGTAGGTATAGCTGTATGTGTGTATGTGTGTATGTATGTATGTATGTATGTATGTATGCATGCATGCATGCATGCATGCATGTATGTACGTACGTACGTACGTACGTACGTACGCATGTATGTATGTATGTATGTATGTCTGTATGTATGTATGTATGTATGTATGTATGTATGTATATATGTACTGTATGTATGTATGTATGTATGTATGTGTATGTATGTATGTATGTATGTATGTGTATGTATGTATGTATGTATGTATGTAAGTATGTGTGTATGTATGTGTGTATGTGTATGTGTCGCTATATATATATATATATATATATATATATATTTCTCTCTCTCTCTTTCTCTCTCTCTCTCTCTCTATATATATATAGATAGATTAATGTAACTTGTATATATATACACCATTATCTCTCTCTCGCTCTCTCTCTCTATACACACGTCTTAGTGCTCTCTTTTCTCAAGAATGGTACGTTCAGAAACAAGGTCGTAAGGCGAAACTCATGTTACCTTGAGGCATTTGCTTGCTGTCTCGCTGGCTACGGCAACCTCGACACCGAACAGCCGATGGGATGCGACGCGAACCACGGTACGGCACCGCCGAACGACCCCCTCGGCCAGGCCACCGAGCCCAACGGGTGGAGAAAGCCGACGAAGCCGACGACATGGCAACGCCGGTCAACCCGTGCATCCCGACGGAGCAAACGGTGAAGCACTCCTGCGCCTCCATCACGACGCCTCTCTGCGAGACTTCTCCGCCGCACGCGTGCCCGTGGCCGGCCACCGCCCCGCGGGCCGGAGCCTGCGCGTCCATGGCGCCGCCGCCGTGCGGCATGGAGCCGCCGAGCGCGTTTTGCTGGCGGGCCACCGCCCCGCAAGCTGGAGGGAGAGCAGCAGGCAGAGCAGAGAAGCGCGGATCCCTAACCACAACAAGAGCAAGCGGACGAAGAGACCCAACCAGCGTGATGCTGAAATGATGAGGCGGTGGAGAAAGAGAGAGCTTAGCAATTAATAGAATGCGGGCGAAGAGAAGGGGAGAGCAAAGGTCCTGGAAAACGATTGGCAACACGATCCGGGTGGTGGGAGGCCTGTTATCATGGTGTCTCCTCCGCGCTTCGCAGCATCTCATGCTCCTGGAGGAGGTGGCACGTGCGGGAAGACAACTACAGCGAGACCGCCATACGTACCCACGCTAGTATGTGCCTCTGCGTGCTCCGCCGCCGACACCTCTGGCGAGTCAGCTGGGGCAGCTCTGGCGAGCTCTTGGGGCTCTGCCAAGGCCATCCAGCAGCACATTCGGAGCATATATCGGGGCCTCTGGGTGGGGCCCGCTTCGGGCCATCTCACGCAGGAGTTGGGTCAGATCGGGGCCTCTCCTGCATGAAGGGTGGCCGCCGTTTGCAGCGGGAAGCGTCCCGACATCCCATGACCCGCTGCAGCCCGAGCCTACAGGGGGCACGCCGGAGAAAGATGCCTCGCAATCCGCCTTTCCACGGGCCAGTCAGACAAGCCGCTGTTCGAAACCTCTTCAGTGTCCACTCGGCCAGATGGACAATACAGTTGACCTGCTGCCGTCCCGAACAGTGCGGGGAAGTGAGGCCGCGGAGTCCGTGATACCCCGACCCGGTGTGCCGAGAGCGGCCCAAACCGTGAGCGCCTTGCGAGCCCATACCCGCGGGACACCTCTTTTTGATCACCCTTTCCACTGGCCATCGCTCGGACGTCCAGTCCCTGTGCTTTTTTCGGTTTCGTGCGTGGTTTTTTCGCCAAATGATCAAGGATGCTCCTCGATGGTCCTCGCCGAAGGAAAAATGCACACGTCCGAGCGATGCCAGGGCCAGGATGCGAGCTGCTGATGGGCCGCTGTCGTCTGTTTCAGCGGTGGACAGCCCTCCCTTTGGTAAACCTCCCCTTAGTGAAAACGGCCCGGGCCCGAAACCGACGGACCTGGACCCGCAAAAGTGACGGCCGAGACGCCCTCTCGCGAACCGCAGACGGCCAATTCCTTAATCGACGTGCCAGGGTAGGAGGTCTGTCCACCCCCGACTGTTCTCTGCGATGCCCGCTGTTGGACTGCTCTCCTCCTCCTCCTCCTCCTCCTCCTCCTCCTCCTCCTCCTCCTCCTCCTCCTCCTCCTCCTCCTCCTCCTCCTCTCTTCTCCGGTACTGCCTCCACCTTGCTGTCTACCAGGGGGCCCGCCCGCCCCACTCCCTGGCCCCAAAGAGCACCTCGCGGGACGCCTGCGAGTCCCTGGCCGCTCCAGGTGGCCCCAGCATGCCAGTCGGATGCCGCCGTGCAGACAGGAGGGCCCACGAGGCCTCGAAGACGGCCCCGGGAGGCTTCGAGGATGGCTTCAGGAGCCCGCGACTGCCGAAGATGGCACCAAGCTGCATCCAGGATGACCCAGGAGACGCCCACGGCGCGCCTGGAGAGGGCAAACCACTTCGGACACACACACACACACACACACACACAGTGCGCTAAATGCTGCTTGGCCATGTCTTGCACCCAAGATGTCCAAACATCGCTTCAAGACGGTCCCCAGAGCTCCCGGGCAGTGCCCACGACAGCCGCAGTGTGGCCCCCTAACGGCCGAAGGTGCCACCGAGATCGCCGAGGATTGCCCAACAAGGCGCTTCAAGATGGCCTCAAGACGCCCTCAAGAGGGGCCACAGAGGCCCCAAGATAGTCCCAAGAATTACCCAAGATGGTGCGAAGCTGGCCCCAGAGACCCCAGGGTGCCCCCGAGGGACCCCGTGATGGCCCAAAACTGTTCCAGCGTAGGGGCAAGATGGGCCAGCTAAGGGAGCCAGCGGCTGAGGACACAATCCTTCACGTTAAGGAGGGGGAGTCCAAGGGATGCCCTCAAGTCAGCAGGCAAAAGGGTCCTCATGGGTACTCTCGGGGTCGGAATGGTCATGCCGCGGCCATGGGGGCCATCCAGGATCACATCGGGCCTCGGGGTCATGCTGGGGCCCTCAAAGGGTCACGCATGAGATCTGAGCACAACTGCGCGTAATCACTGGGCGTGGTGATGAGGATGATGGTGGGTAGATCGATGTGGTATGTCAATATGCTGTACATTGGGGCACCTGGGGGGCGTCTGAAGTCACACGCGGACGCCTTGAAAGGAAAGCAGGCGACTAACAAAGCACACAGAACATAGAGAAGCTTAAAGTGTTCCATGGCTGCTTACCTACTCGGAGCATGCTGCAGCCCTCTTGTAGGTCCACGGGGCCCTCTTTAAGAGACGCAGGGCCGCGCTAGGGCCACCTTGAGCCGCCTTCGGCTCCCGGGGCTCTATCTGGGCCCCCTTGGGGTGCCGCTGGTGGTCTCCGTCCTTCCCGCGTGTAGCACACTCTCACGAGCATCGAGGACGGCAGCGGGCCGCGTGGTACCGTCCGTTCTGACAGGGGGCCCGAAGTAAACACCAAGCCGTCTGACCGGCCAAGGAGCTCGGTTTATAGACGTTCCAGATTCCTAGAATGTGGGGCGCTGGAACGTCCATGCACCGAATTCCTTCGACGACCTCCGTGGCTCCGTGGCCGACGAAACGACTGTATACTTTGAGTTTCTTCAACAGAGGTTTCCCAAACGGGGTTCGAGCAGATGGGGTCGGAGGATGCGGCGTGATCATCCGACCCCATCAACTCGGACCCCATCCCTGAGAGGCAGCACAGGGGGGGGACCAGCTCAGGGGGGAACATGCACCTGGAATCGGCGATACATCGCCGATAGATCGGCGTTAGGTCCCCGATGGCGAAGCCACACGGTCTTGGGATCAGTGGACTGTCGGGATTCTATCGGCGCTGAATGGGCGACTGGGGGTCGATGCAGCCTCCCTGAGCCTATCCCCTGGAGGTTTTCAGCTCATAGCTCGGGCCTCAGGCGGCCGTTCGGGACGATCCCGACATCCCCAGCACGCCCCTCTGCGAAACGCAGTCGCTGGAAGGAACCCCGAGGCCCCGAGGCTGCAAAGCCGCCGAGAACCCACGAAAACGCTCGAAAACCTCGAAACACCTGAAAGCCCGGAACGCCCCCCCCCCCCCCCCTCCCCCCCTGAGCCTATGTTGCCGGCGCGCACAGCACAAGGGGGTGAGGAAAGGGGCCTGCCCCTACATCTACAGACAAGGCCCGCGCCTTCTAAGAAGCAGGGAGCTTCTAAGAAGCCCTCCCCCCTCTCCCCACTCACCTCTGCGCGCGGCTGCCTATCACCCCCATGACGCTGCCCTTGAGCGATGCGCACTTAAAGTACCCCATAACCCTAGTGGAAGGGACCGAAGTTAGGAGGGTCAAGAACATTAGGGATAAAAGGGGGCCTCTGTGCAGATGCATGAGACCAAACCACCCAGATCTATTATCCCTAATGCGGCGGCGGGGACCGAAGTGAGCCCATGTAATCGTGTTATTAAGGTCGGTGGAGAGGACGAGGAGGCGGAGGAGGAGGAGGAGGAGAACAAGGAGGAAGAGGAGGAAGAGGAGGCGCACCCCTGGGAGAGTCCCGATCCCTACCCACTGGGCCCAGTGGCCAAGGCCCGCACCTGCCGAGAGCGACGTGCGCTAGCACGAAGCCGAGCAAGAATGGCGCCGCGGGCGAAAGACGACGAGGGGCGACGGGTGCGACACACACAAAATGCAGAATTAATACAATCTAGAGCAACTGCATGAGACATGAGACTCTCAGACGCGCGTGCCTGCCAGAGGTGGGGGAAATCAACCTGCAACCAATCATTGCCCCAGCTCACGGGTAGATAACGAAGGAGGGAACGTACATACTCAACTATCACAGGGCACCGTACATAGTGGTCAAGACAGTCAGCACCGAGATGCATATACTCAAAAACACAAGGCCCAACTTTTTGTCGATAACGCCGTGTAGTGTTCCACGCATTGCAGACCGATTTCAATACCGATGCGTGGACAAGGGGCGGCAGCTTGTCAACCCCAGACGAATAACGCACAGATCGATGTCATTCCTGGAGGCCTCAGGGTGCATCTTCAAGATCCTCGGGGCCAAAACTTCACCAAAAGTAAAATCCACCATGTACGTTTTCAGGTCCAGGGTAACTTTCTTCTGAGTGGTTTTTCCCGTGGGAGATATCAACAGGTCCGACTTTGGCCTCATACTCCTCAAGCGTTTTATACATCTGGAAAAAGATGGAGTCGGAGAGCGCTCGGGACCACTTGTAGGTTAAACACTAGTCGTCATCATCAACTTTGGTGTTCCAGTCACCCGCCAGCTTGTGGAACATGTCAGCGTGAGAAGCAGCACGTAACATAGCAGCTTTGGCCGAGATCGCTAAAGAGTGGCACTCAGTCTTCATGCCAAGACGGGTAGCCTGCAAGAGGACCTTGGGGGGGGGATACTGTGCCTGGGAGCCCACGTTAGTAGTTGCTGTGCTTCTCGCTCTTGGCTTAAGGCTTCACCCGTGACAATATGGAACTGGGCTACGCGAGAGCAAACTGACCCAGCAAATATGTTGCACGCAGAACAGGCAGCCGTGAGACCAGTGCCCAGTGCTCTTACCTCGGCACCCCGCGTAAGAAGCTTTTGTCCTACACGGGACCACGCAGTCTTCGGTGCATGCAAGCCCACCTCCACACCAAGGTACATCCCATACTGATTAATCTTCCACCCCGATATATCAAGACCAGCTTGCAAGCACTGCGCGGTGATCTGCTGCGGGTCAAAAGGCCGCGGAATCACGATGACGCACTTCGGAAAGTTGAGTGCGAGGCCAGAGCACGGCGTTGCGGCCATTAATATTTCCACACCACGAGGGAGCGCACTGACTAGATCAGCAGCTGCAACGGCAAGATCCTCGGCAAATGCAGTAGGATAGACCGATAGCGAAACTCCTAGTTCAGCAACGCCACGAAGAATGGGGTCGAAGGCGAACGCGAATAACAGTCCACTAAGAGGATCACCTTGTTTAACTCCTCGAGAGGCCCAAAAGCCTCCAACGTCTGAACCACGAATCGAAATGCTAAACCAAACCCGCTCGTAGAAATACCGCATACAGTTAATGGGGGACGGCGGAAAGCGCCAGCGCTGCAGTACTAGAAAGAGCCAGAAGTGGTGCACCGATGGGAAAGCACTCTCCATGTCGAAGAGGGCGCCTCCAGCAG